TTATGGGTCTGGCGAGACATCGCAGCTGTAGTGAAGGATTAGACAGTTGCTGAATTCCGCAGTTATATCGCCTTCAATAAAGTCTTATTTAGTAGATAAATTTAGTAGATATTGGGAAGTTATGACTTTTGCAAATGTATAGGCTAGTTGCAAGCAGAACATTTTTATCGATTTCTGGAAAAATCTACGGGGCCGGGTTGGTACGGGGATTTGAGGGCGCTAATTATGAGTAAAAATTTACTTTATCAATTTTATCGATTTTAGGAAAACTTTGAGCTACGGGGATGAAAGTTGGTACAGGGGGGGGGGGGGAGGGTAAATGAGGGGTGCTGATTAGAAATTGAATCTGTTTCATCGATTTCACCGATTTTTGGAAAATTTTGAGCGGGTAGTTGGCTTAGGGTGCTGATTATAAATGGATCGGCTTTAGCCGAATATGTCAGAGCTTAGATATGGCTGCTCTAATTATTCGATAATTCATTCGAATATTTATTCGAAATTCGATTCCCAATGTTCGAATATGATTGATATTCATTCATTCGATATATCTGGTTTTCTGATTGTATTCGGGATTCATTGATTCGAAAATTTTTAAACCTCAAATTTATTTGGCAGTCGTTTATTCGAGAATTTTCAATTTCGATTGCGATGAAAAATTTCCAATCTACCCAAGTATACTCTCCACCCACTCTTCTCCCCTCTCTTTCTCTCTTGCTTTCTTTCTCTCCCTTTATTAGATTTTGTCAGAGTACCCCGGGATCTCAAAGTTTCCGTGGAATTCGTGACCGTTTTTATATGAGTGCTAAGTTCCACGATGTCCAACTCCTTCTCCGTACCCAAAGCTAGTGTAGCCAACCATGCGAAAGGACCAAAATTCAATTGCCAACGCTTGAATTGTTTTTTTTTTCCAAATTCCCGCTATGTCATGCAGTCCTTCCTCCTTCCCCCCCCCCTCCCCAATATCATACTTCTTTCAATTTCCCATGTTGGAGCCTAAACGCTTCTCCGTAGGTATCCTGGTCCGTTTGGATTCGGAGCACTAATTCCACGGTGCCCATTCAGCCTCCCAACCCAGGGTGCTCAAAGCCCCCCCTAAATTTTTGGGTGCCCTGTCATACATCCTCCCCCCCCCTCCCCAAGAATTACCTCCTCGCGGTCCCCATGTTGCACAGACTCTTCGCCCTGGGTGACGTAAACAAAATAACCGCAACCCGAATTTCTTTCATACAAAAGTTTTCAGTGGGAGCGTTGAGTTCTACTGGTCCGCTATACTTGGTCCCAATCGAATTTATTTTATAATTTATATACAGGGTGTCCCAAAATAATGTGCACACTGTTTGATTTTGAATAACTCTTTTTGCATGAGGTCTTTCGAGAAGCGGTAAGCGCCATTTTGTAGAGCTGGCTTCAACTTAGATTTACAGTATAAAGCGAATCACCGACCGCTCTTCATTACTGTAGCATTACGGTAGATGAAAAATTGTTTTGGGCCATGGAAGGCCTTATTTTGCCCCAGAAAGGAATCAAAACAGCCTGAAAACTTTTCACACTAGGCCAAGTAGAGTTGCTGATTCTAACTGTAAAGTTCCCAACTTATTATGATGCTTCACTGAAGAGTTATGCGAGGTAAGCAGTAGCGGCCATTTTCTCAATGTTCCTAAAAAGTGCGGTAACACCGTTTAGAAAGCTTTGCAATCTTGAGAATAGTTGAGTATTGAACTCAGCGTCCTTAAAAACCCTATTACACAAGTTTTCACATGTTTTTGAAAACTTGAGACGGCAGCTTTTTCCACAGTGACACCATATGTTCCAAGTTTCTACCGTAATTCTACAGTAATGAAGAGCGGTCGGTGATTCGCTTTATACTGTTAATCTAAGTTGAAACCAGCTCTACAAGATGGCGCTAACCGCTTCTCGAAAGACCTCATAATAAGAGAGTTATTCAAAATCAAACAGTGTGCACATTATTTTGGGACACCATGTATATTAGGTCATTCCGAAAGTAATTTCGCTTTTTTCAGACGGGCCCCGTATTTGATGGATCAAAGGTTTCTGAGAGATCTTGGAAACATTCGATGCAGAATTTTATTCTCTTTCTAATGGTTATGAAATTGTTGCAAATTAATCAATGAGCTTTCAGAAAATAACCAAAATCTGCGACCCATGCTTTTTGAGATGATCAAGTTTTACGATTTTTAAAACTTTCCTATCAATCCTCAGAAGGAGTACAAGTAACGATTGGATAAAGTAAACCTTACAGAATACAGTACTGCTTTTTTCTCCTTTCCACAGCTTGTTATATATTTTAGCAGAATTTTAACTGATGCTACCGATTTCCATACTTGGGCAGCTAAATCTTCGTAGAACATCAAAAGAAGAGCTGCTCGCGCACTATTCGATTCAGCATTTTCTCCTCTTTCTAACAGGTGTTTTTTGTTTCCTATTCGTTTGATTTCCGGGGAAAAATCATCATAGCTCAGGAGTTAGAAACGACGAGCATTGAAGAGACAAGCTTTTGCGTCGTTTGAAAATTAGAAAAAGGTATAAACTACTACCTTCATGTCGCGGAGTTACCGCAAAGAATGCACAGGCACATCGCCTATTCACAATTTTCAAGAACTTGCATCTATGCATTTGAGTGATTTTGTAGTAATCAGCGCTTACTGTATCATTTGGAATTTGAGACCATGGAGCTGACTATTGAAGTACAATCAGTACTATCAAAGTGTGTTTAAGCACACAATACTTTGTTCTATATGTAGAGAAGCAAAAAGAACTAAGACGACAAAGCAAATTTTCGATCAATCTATCAGCAATCGCTAAGGAGCTTGCTGTAAATGATTCTCAATAACACTAAACAGATGATCTGGTAATTATTTGTTGCATCACTGAAACACACCACTAAGCTCTTCTTGATAAAACTATTGTCATCAAATCATCGATTCACTTCAGAAATCATAATCGGCTAAAAATCTGGCTGAAAGACGTTTACGAAACGTTTGCCGTAACCGAATATTATACTTAGATGAAAATGAACAGAATGGAGTTCCGAATCACGAAGCATGCAGAAGCGCACGTTGTGATCTAATGGCCCTAAAAAAATAAAAACTATGAGTACAAAAGGAAGTTAGTACTTGCTTTTGTAGAGCATAAATTCAAATTTTTTACAGTCTCTGGTGTGAGTTCAAAAGAAGCATCATGCACGACAATTATAGTGTAGTTTTGTGTTTACATGTTTAAACATAAATTCACAGCATGTTATCAAAAATTCAATTTCGGAGAGAAATAAACTTTGGGCGTTCATTCATCAGGCCTTGATCGAAGTGAGTATTTGCAACGATACTTTATTCGAAAATTTTTTTGACACCTTTGATATTGACAATTTGACATCTAACATTTCGGTAAGAAACAATTTTGAGCACCATATTCATAAAAATACCATTCGATTTTGAGCATTGCAAAATTCAATTGATGGCAATGCGACTGGGGTAATTTATTGAGTTGCGTGATTAAACAAAGACTTCCTCCACGTCGAATGGCAGAATCATCTGAAAGCTCCAAAAGCATCGTTAAATTGTTATTCGACATACTTGGTCACAAGCAACGCACACTTAGTCACGAGTTGCGGGCTGGTTCAAGGACTAACAAAATTTTTTGTTACAATCTGTCAAGAGATTTTCTTTATCTAAATCTTCAAAGCTGATTATATACAAGCGATTAAAAAAAGACTCGCATGTGACTGATACAGGGCTATATAAGTGTAAACAAGGAGGTTGTCTCCGTGTCAATCATACGCTCTTGATTTCTCGCTTCAAATGTTGTAGGCTTGCCTTCCACAAAATTCCTATCGAGGCCACGGGTGCAAGCCTCCAGCAGAATCCATTACAGTCAACATTATATCACCCTATTTTGCAACCGCTTACACTGCCGACAAAAGTACTATGTGATAGGTAAAACAGAAATGTTGACCTTTTCTTTTCTGGTATCCTAGCACAGCCTTATTTGAAGAGGTGCATTTATACCATAAATTCCAGAGTATACAATAAAATTCTTTCTTTTCACAAAACTGCGCTTTGCTTCTTGGTCAGCAGCGAGGCACTCATTTGTGAACTTTGCAATCCTCTAGTGAACAAGGCAGCTTCGCTTCATGCAGAGTCGAGGTAAATACTTTGAGAGTTTGCAGAGTATACAAGTATTTGTATGTAATGCAACAATCCTGACATTTGGGTGATCATTAGAGCGACTTCCTCTTCAACATTTCCTCTCCTCTGCTTGAGTTTGAAAGAACAAATGGGTCTCGGCTTTTGAAAAAAAACGCGCTTTTTTCAAATTGCCTGCGCAGTTGGTGCGATTAGGGGAAGATAGTGAAATCAAAGCGGCAAAGGTGTAGTCGCTATAAAGGACTATTTGCTATCCTTGTCCCGGCCCTGGTTCACATTTCTGACAACCCTACAAATTTCATTCGTAATCTATCACTGCTGTGTTTGCGAATCAGAAATTATTACGTAAGCTTTTGTAAAGTGCATAAATACCTACACCCGACCTTCAGTAACTTCCTGGTCATCCTCTTTTCCATTTCGTTGAATTCCTTCTTTTGTGCATAAGCATGTGTAGGCAAAATTGACCCTTGCTAAGTTCTGCTGTGGCTCAAAAACAACCCATTTGATAGTCTATAGCTTTGGAGAGTCAAGGGAAAATATAAGCAACCGAAAACTTTGGGTAGAACTTATTGAACGCAAGCTTCATTTGCTTCTTTTTTCAAAAGGCAATTACCAATATTATTGTTTAAAGAGAGAAGCTGATGAATTTACAGTTGAACAAGCAAAATAGTTGGTGACAGAGTTGCATATTGTGCACGACTTCATGATGTTTTAATTTTGACTAACACTGCGACATCGTCTTTTACAAATGCCTAGGAATTACATAGCAGGAAAATCAAATTGTAAACTCGTGACTTCCCTTGCTCTCAGAAGATCATTTGTTTTGGTAGAGGACTATATGTCGCCGAAAGTGGGAGGATTTAACGCGGATGATGCAGCAGTACTCATCCTGTGCATGTGCTAAAAGGTGTATTTGTGTCCAACTGAACTTCCCATTTCCGCCTACATATAATCCCATAACCCATTTGTTTCTCTATCAATTATGCCGAAGTCTCGTGTTTTCGTCGTTTTATCAAGCGCTCTATGTACCGCTTATTTCTCAAAATATTCTTTCCAGGCATTTCACGTCAGTTCGACAAGAATGAGAATTTTCAACCTTACCTTTTTGTTACTTACCATCTTAGTGGTACGTTGACCAAGCAAGACATAATATAGTTTACGATTTGACTCCATAGACTTGCTGACTTTACACTACTTTTAATGCTTACAGATTCTCTCTGCTGTGGACGTTGGTGAATGCAGAGTTATCGATAAAATAAGAGCAGTATTCGAAAACCTTCCGTCCCTCGCTGAAAGTGCGAGAAATATTGCACGCGTAATTAGAATCATCAGAGAATCAAATGGTGCACCAGCACCAGAACCTGTACCTCAAGATGGAAAGTGATGTTTTGTGCTCGATTGTCGATAAATCTTGGCATGGTGATTCAATTGTAATACAGACATTCCGTCCGTCCGCCTTCATCAGGACTTTTTGAAAGATTGAGATTTTGAGAACTGCCTGCTCAAACGCCCTGTTTGGCAGTAAATTCAGTCTAACTTTTCTGATGGATTAGCGAATAGATGTGTAAGCCTGACTTCAGCCTTTTCAAATCGGAATGTAGAGAACGAACAACCAGTACTGCGCTGCTGCTGCACTATGAGTGAGTATGAAGTCACTGCACACAATGCCCTTATATGGTTATGTAAGATCTCGTATTAGAATCCACACAGATTTGATAGGAAAACATTTGATGTTTATAGTAATGCCTTCATCTTTGCGGTTCATTTTTGGTGGTTTAGACGCTATTCAAAAGGCCTCCAATGTTTTGCGGCCATTGACTCCGATTCGTGCGACAAGATCGTGACAGTGACTTGAAAGTACTGTTCTCACGACATAACCTTCGATGTGCACCCAAAGGTGTGGACATTTTGGATTTTCTAAGGCATCAAGATGTTTTGATTCTTCTGCACGAGGGTCTGCCGATGTTTCTTATGTATTGGTCGCCGTATTTTTTGACAGGTTATGAAATATACCACTCCTAATTCCATGCAGCCGTATAGTTTTTCAAAGCTCAGATGATACAATCGGCGGTCTTGCATATTCTGTCGTACGCTCGATTTAGAAGCAGGGATATCTATAACTTTGACAAGATCATCGAGGCCTGCTGGAAACAAAGATTTTTTTATAGTTTTGCTAAAATCATCAGATACGAAGAGCACAAAACCGATATTTTTGCAAGAGCTAGAATTGTTTTTAGCTACATAGAGAACGTCGGATTCAGCATAGAATACAATCTCAAATTCGAGTTCAGCAGAAAAGGATAAAGAACTGTAATGAAATCGAATTGAAATCAGCGTTCGAAGCCCTACAAGATGATACCCACCTCATTCTGAAAGGTCACTTTAACCCAGCTTCCTTCCCTTGTAAGCGGAGAAATTGAAGACTCAGTGCGCCGCTGCAGAGAATGTCAAGAAGCCTCCAAACTGCCAATGAAGACGTTGCTGCATTTATGGACAGTGAAAGACAGACCATGGAATCAACTTCACATTGACTACGCAGGACCGCTAAATGTAAGATGTATCTCGTCGTAGTGATGTTTAGTCGGAATGGCCAGAAGTGTTTGAAATGTCTTCATCGTCAACTACAGCTACATTGAGAAAACTCAGATCTTTATTCGCACGATTTGGACTGAGTGATCGTGTCGGATACATATAGCTTTATTTTTTGATGAATCTGTCTGCTTGTACTTGTGAAGAAGTACTCTGCGTTGATACCACTGCTT